TTGCAATACTCTAATTTTTTTGGCATATGACAACATCTTATCGGTTCATATTATAAATAAAACAATTCTCCAATAAACTGTCGTAAAAAGTTAAAACATTTCTATTTCAGAAAAGTGTTGAGTAATAAAATAGGAAATTTGGTAAAGTTCGGCTCAGTTTCCGTCTCAGCCATAGGCGTGAGTAAATTTTTTATTCCCGATCCTTAAGCCTAACGAATCCCGTGCCTCAGGTTAAATTCTCAACTTTCAGAAACATAGAAATATCCTCAGAATTAGAGCACCACTCAGTGTTTTTCGACTTGTCTGGTAAACCCACTACATTACCGTAGTAAAGATTTTTAGGTTCTGGAAAGTTAAATTTGCCCGCAAAAACGCCATTATGAAAGTATATAGGAAGATTCTTAACCAGACTCTACCCATATATGAGGACACAGACTAGACCAATTACAACCACTTTCATTCCACAAAGCTACCACTCAAAACTGCAGTCTTAGCCGCAGAAGAATAATTCAACTAACCAAAACGGACCAGCAATCGAAATAGTCCACTAAAAAACCACCGAGACTTGATCTGTCACCCAATCACTCCAAGAACACTGCTGCGTAAATTAAATTTTCATTCCGAACACCAAAATCAAAATCAGGAATAACGAAAGTAAAAATCGCCAGACAATCTCATTTTTAAAGTGAAATTCGATTCCGATGGAAGCCGCGTTATGACTTTATTGAGAGATTTGAAATCCAAACTTTAGACGCTCGAACAGAAACGCTGATTTTAACCGTTTCGAGCTTTAGATAGAACGCAATAGCGTGGAACAGTAGACGAATAGTTTGACAGTAGGCGAATTCGTTGCAGGTCCACAACCCATTCGCATAATAGAATTCATCTTTTCGTGGACCGTCGAGTACACGGAGAACATTGGGATTAAGTTCAATAATTTCCATCGAACTAGAAAATTTTTAGGTCCCTGTTTCGACCGCCAAAATTTTACCTGATTATAAACTAAAATAAAAAAAATATCTTTGTTTATGTGTGATATGGGAGAAAGATTTCTAAGATAAAAAAAGGAAAAGTATTTACCGGGTGGCCCGTTTAAGAGGGCCCTATGCCTTATCTCGAAACCTACGGGGGTTACAAAAAGAATTTGAATACAAAAGTTGTTTCTATTAAAATTATTTTTTTTTTTTTTTCCTAATCGTCACTTTTTTATAGACAGGGTGGTAAAACACAGTTACATTTTTTAAAATAGAACACCCTACATTTTATTGCATTTTTGGATGGCCCTTTCAAAGATAAATTCAACGATATATATGAGTATGAGTCTGTCAGGTACCGTTTAGAACTTATTAGCGATCATCTTCAGAATTCGGGTAATGTCTAAATTATCATTGTTGGGTTGCTTACTAACTTTTAATCAAATTTAAAATATATTAAAAATACGCGGTGTTGCCACGTTTCGCAAAGCGATACTTTTCTCAATGTGAATAGCGGCTTTAATAGCAATTAGATGTACCTAAAACACTTTTTAATTACCTTCTAAAATAAAAATAAGTTACATTTCAGAATATTAGTCCTAAAAACAAAAATACATTTACTCTGTAATTGAACTTAGAAAGTCCATCCGACGTGACACAAAAACGCTATTCCACTGGTTATGACGTCACGAGGTACGTCGAGACAAGCAACGGATTGTTACCGTACCTTTTATATTGTTTGGTTAGCTGTAGTTTGTGTTCTATTTTATTCTACTTGGTTAATTCGTGCGTTTGTTATTTGTAATATTTCCATATTTCCAATATGACTCAAAGATTTATACATACACAATCTTTAGGCCAAGAAGGAATTGTTTACGTCTGTTTATTTTCTTTATGTATAACTTGTTCCATTCAGTATTACTAGTCCGAGACAGATAATTCCACTTAATTGGAGATAAAGCAATATTTGTAGTTGCAGGTTTATTAGGAATAGAAGATGTACTGCCTTCGCCTTCAATGAAACTCTGCAACTTGGCAATCAAAAATGGGCGAAACTAGTATTTTTCATTCTTTTTCGAACTGCTGTCATTTTCTATTCTATGTAATTTTCTATATCCTGCTCCAACTGAAAAAAGACAATAAAATGGTTTTAAACCATATTTTACATTGCTTTTCGTGAACTGATAATTAATATAATGTTTTTTATTGGAGCAGAAATGGTTGTAGTTTTACAACCTGGCACATTTATTGACATGACCGCCAGGATTGACAAAATTCAAGTCGTGCGGTAATATCTCCGAAAATGTCCGAAGTGACTTGGATCCGTGGAACAAGAAACTCACGTGATAAAGTGACGCTTCCTGCACGCTAGATCTTTGTATAATTGGGTATTTTACAGATGGGAATGACTCAAAAATAACTTAAAACTGAGGAAAAAATATCAAGCTGATAACTGGCAACACGAAAACGTACCTCGTGACGTCACCGACAGCTCAGCACAGCACAATAGGCTTTTAGCGGGAAATCGTGTAGTTCAACTGTTAATTATTTATTCCGATGTTAAGATTTCACTTATGTTAAAAACATTACGGGAACTACTTTTTAAGTCTTACTTAGTATTTCCATTCAATAAAAAAATTTTTGCTGCGTGCTATTTGTCAAAAGAGCTTGACTGAAACAGTTTCAGTCAAGCTCTGGAGAAGCCAACGGGATGATTGGCGAAACGTCAGGAATTTCGACTCAGCAAAAACCGACGCAGGAGGAATCCAGAAGTTTTGTAAAAAGTATAACAGTAGCCTGTGGAAGTTTCTTTGAAAAAAAACTTTTAGGCTCTCGCTTAAAACAATGGAATTTGCTTGAAGATGTTAATATCAATGTTTTTTACAAAAGAAGATGGATTTTAATTTTGCAATAATGTAAATGGTATGTTCGAAGAATTTGGCACACCATGTCTTCCTATCAAATGTCGTTTATTTATTGACAGCTCTGCACAGAGCTTAAAAGCTGTTTTATTACACGCCGGAGATAAATTCCCACCTCTTCCTATAGGTCACTCAGTACATTTAAGAGAAAATTATGAAAATGTTGCTTAGATCTGTAAAGTATTGCGAGAACAACTGGCAGCTGATCGGAGATTTTAAGATGGTGGGAGTTTTAATGGCTCTATAGAGCGGATAGCAGAGCGGTTGCTAAGCATTATATTCAACGGTCAAAATCTGTAAAAACAGAACTATGTGTCCGAAAACAAAATTAAAAATGTGAACGGATTGTTAATGTTAATGTTAAGGCTAGTGTTAATACCACCACTGCACATTAAGTTAGGGCTAATGAAACAATTTTTTAAGAAACTGGATGAAACTTCAGACACTTTTAAGTATAGAAAAAGTTTTTTCTGAAGTTATCAGAAGCAAAGGTAAAAGTTGGAGTTTTTGTTGATCCGCAGATTAGAAAAACTTCCAACGTTGCTAAATCGTATTTAAAACGTAACTTGAAAGAGTTTTAAATCAGTAGTTGTTGGATTTTTAGGAAATAACGAACCTGGAAACTACAAAAAGTTAGTTGAGAATATACTAAAAAAAATTAAGGCTATGGGCTGCAGGATATGACTAGATAAATTTAAAAACAGCAGAAGGGCAAGGAGGACGTTTTCATTAGAAGTTTCGAACAACGTTATCAAGGCCAATACAATGAAAATATGATGAGAGATTATATTTGGGGTTTATTGAGAGAAAGTAGTTACGAACATAAAAGAAAAATTAAAAGCGTACACTTATGAATTATTTGAAAAATGCCATTCAATCGGTCTCCTAAATACAAAAGCATACGTTTCTATGTCATTTTTTATTTCATATAATTACGACGAAATTTTAATCAAAACTAAATTTTGTGTTGATCCGTGTACTCAGTGAAAATGGAGAGCGAATTTTCGGTGTGAGCACTTACGAGATAGCTTTTTACTTGCAATTTTGAGTTTCATATTGTTACATGTGGACGGATATATTATTGTTAGGTTAGAGATTATGTTAGTGTGGTCCACGATAGCTGCATGGGTTGTTGGTTGAGACACAAGAAGCGTCATCTAGGTGTAATTGTAAAAATAGAGTTTTATGGTCGACGCTGATTGGCTAGGTTTAGGGACTCATCTAAGGCTGCCACAAACCCATTGTATATTATTCTTAATTTTATTATATACTAAATATTAAAGATGTTCGTGCTAATCATGACTGCCAAGTGACTGCCGTTCCAAGGATTTCCGGAACATCAAGGTTTATCGAAAAATGGACACATTTCTATTAGCAGTTTTTAGTAAATATTTTGTAGAAAATCCTGGTTGTGCGAAGAGGTACATATGGTTATAACAAGGAAACTATGATATTACTATTCTTACTTAATGCAGAAAAAATGCTTCTAACCAACGGTTTTGAAATGGACTTAAGTTTTATTATAGTACAAAAATACTGGCATCCCTGTTTAAACATTGTCAATTTTGCAATTATTTATTCATTTACTGAGACAAGTAGTATTTATTTTGTATCGAATTTTGTGTATTTATTTATTAAGAATTATTATAATCATATATTATGCGATATATATAATGATCTACAGTTGGGCAACATATTACTTCATACTGTTACTTTAAATACATTATGGGGGAAATTATTTTGAATTTATTTATATAAAATGATATTATTCACTACATTTAATATATGTACTACATGTAATATTTAGCAAATATTTAAGGTTTGCTTTAAAATTTTATGATTTGACCTTAGATCAGAAACACTTATTAGGAGAGAAGCGCTAATGCCTCTTTGAAGACGAGGATCTCCCAAACTCACATCAAAGATATTTTCATTACAATACATTATAATCATTACTAATAAGTTATTCAATGCTGCATTCACTAATTAGCAAAACGCGACAATAAAGCATTCTAATTTACCATTGTTGCCCCATAATTACGAATTTAAAATTAATGTGGGTCGGTTAATGCTGACTAAGTTACGTAACGAACTTCGTACTTACCGACAAACCAAGGATTTCTGGGATTATTTTCGACATTTAGTGACAAGAAGTACTCCTTAAATCCTCGCACTGGATTAGCCTGAGGCTGAACCGATAAAGTTCCTTCCACTTCCGCTTCGTTCCCGTCAGATACACTCCATCGGGCGCTCCATCCATCGGATCCTATCCATGAGAATGAGCCGGTCGCGTTGAGTCTGCGTACTGCTCTCATTAGCTCGGCCACTTCCTGGTCAGATCCAAAGATTATGCATCCTGGAACAAAATTCTTCGTAATAACTGGTCTACGATAGATTTTTGGTAATCCTGAAATTACGTGTATTGTAGATGATGTCATAGGTTTTATAAGTTGGTGCACCCATAGTATTTTAGAATTAATTTTGTGCCTTGTTACCAGATTTTCAATTATCGCTTATATTTCTGAGGTCTCTGAAGTTTGGTAAGTATTTTACCTTTTTTTTCTCAAAGGAAATTCTACAACTCTTGTGGATTCCTCTTGCGACGGTTGTTGATAACTCGAATATCGAGGAATGTCAACATTGTCTAGTATAACTGCTTCGCATATTGGTGAAAGATAAAGACCAGAGTCTCAGTTAAGATAGTTTGGTTCTCGGATGTCCCCGTTTCTCCGTTTTTCGTCCATTGGGGAAACAGGATGAAAAATATCTGTGCCAAAAAAAAGGAGCATTAAGACTACGACGAATAAACTCATCACCACAAATCAAATTTTATTCTAACAAACTAAAATTCTTGCATGTAATCAATTCTTCTACCAAAGAAAAAATCTGAGAATCCATAGAAATCTTCAAACAGCCAAACAATCTTAACTACCACTCAGATCTTTACCTTTCACCAATAAGGGGAATCAGTCATTCGAGACAATTTTCATATCTACACCTTATAATTTTGAATCACATCACGCTCTTTTAAGCACTGTAATTCGCTGAATTCTATGATAGATGGTGATCCGAATTTTTTATCTCGAATATTAAGAAGCAATGGAGGAGTTAATTTGTACAATATGATCGTGCATAATATGATGTTGCTCAGTGGATGCGTAAAGTGGATTATCAAAATCAATTAAGTCTGTGGCATTTCTTTAATAGGAAGCTTAATGGCCAAATTTATTTGAAATTTTTAAGAAACAAATTGGCAATTTTATTAGAAAACGTTTATTTTAGACAGCACTTATCCAGACCGTTGGATAGGAGGGGCACTTTGTCTCTATAGTCGGCCAGATCTCCAGACCTTACTGTCCTAAAGTTTTACCTTTGGGTAGAATAAAATATATTAGTTATCAAACTTACTTACATTACCTTTCAAAATCTGAAATTAGTTCAGCCGCATTAAAGATACAATTCAGGGTACACTCCTACGTAGAAATGCATTTTAAATATTTATTTGATTTTCCCATAATATTCGGATAGAGTTATTACTGTATAAACGTCGCACTAGGCAAGATTAAAGATATTGAAATCCGGTTTTCACTGGAGTTTTGGGCTCTGGTATGACCATCAAATGACAAAAGAAAATCATATCGTTGCATTTACTTTTTTTTCAGAATTTTTGTTGTCATTATGTTAGAAAGCGCCATCTGGTTACTTAATCGCAATCATCTCACTCATAGCACGTTTGAGAGCACAGCCATTTCCGGAAATGCTGGAGTACTCTCCACCATTTTCCTTTTAGAGGTCAAATGAAAAACGTCTAACAAAAAAAATCTAGACTTGTCTCAGTTTTAAGAAAGTGTTCACTCTAAGTATCATTAATATTTCGGAACCTCAAACATAATTTCCAGCATTTTATCTCAGCCGATTTACTTTTTTTTCAAATTTGTAGGAATATCCGTTTGCCCAATCCCGTATTTACCTGACCTTGCTGTTTGCGCTTTTGTTGGAGGATGTTTCCCGACATATGTTTATATAAAAATATTCCTTTTAAGTGAAATATGCTGCTATAGTTTGGCCCATACAACGCCTTTTTTCTCTGTTTTACTTTTGCTCAAAATTTTTGCTTCGATTATATGAATATAAGAGGGGGAACCAGAACAATAAAATTTTAAGTTGAAAATGTATAATACATATATTTATTTATTTTTAATGAATAATTATTAAGTATTTGGGTCTAAACGAACGGTGATTAGTCCGTCATGGAGGTGACACGGTTCGCATCTGAAACTAACAAAATAACCTGAGTACCAAAGACTACGATTCATGAAACAAACTTAATATTACCAGAAAACAAAGATAACAGATATATCTTGCATAAAATCTGGAACTGAGTATCGGTTGGTACTAAGGGCAGAATCACTAGTGCTGATTATTCCGATCGTGCATACGTGGGATACTAAGGGCAGAGACACACGAAGTATCCTGTCGCAAATAACCACCTAGGCACTGAAGGGCAGCAACAAGCGAAACTGCAATAAACAACAGGTCATAATATACTGAAGGGCAGAACACACATCAGTACTAAGGGCAAAACACACATAGTATTTATTTCAATCACTAGTACTGATTATTCCGTTCGTGCAATGGATACTAAGAGCAGAGACACATCCTGTCGCAAATAACCACACCGGCACTGAAGGGCAGCAACACGCGACAGCGCAATAAACAACAGGTCATAATACACTGAAGGGCAGAGGCACGCGACAGTAGCCACGACTTTCAACCAACAAAGTAACAACATTTAAAATAGTTCAGGGTATATTTTATAAATTAAAAATGACACCTATCAATAAATCATTTGATACTTTGGTATTTTGCTCAATAAATCGAAATCATCATGCAATTCAACTACTGCACTCGTGAGAACAATCACCTTTAAGTTTTGGCAATTTCAAATAATGCAAACAATAGCCCGCACCACTCGAATGCACGGTTAAGCGAGAAATGCCGGAAAGATATTTCTTAAAATGTTACTGCACCCCAAAACTATGTTTATTATAAAATGACGCCCTTCTACTAATCGATATTTTGACGGAGCGAGAAATGCGGTTTTAAGAAAACATCTGGCACTCAAGTGGTTGCTTATTGAGTAGCACCTACAAAAATTTTATAGGGTAGCTTAAAAAAATATACGTCTTATATAAAGAAACAAAAAAGTACACATACAGAAGATCCCTCAATTTTGTGTATCATCATTTACGGCAGGATGATAAATGATTAGCGTTTACCTAAAAACACTACAACATACGTATCATTATTGCCTTCCGAAATACGGCAGAATAATTCTCACGCACGAAAATAACTGGGTTTACTGACACACCGACGGCGACAAGGTAACAAGGCAACAAGGTACTCAGGGTACATAAACATTCCGGGAGTCGAGTGTATAGTAAATACTTCCAAGAAGGCATTTTTGCTAACCATTCTTGTTGTTATGTTTTAATATGCGTAAAAATTTGCGTGAGAAAAAATTGTCTGTACTTTAAACTACATCTTGTTTCGCAACTTTATTCCCAGCTTATTCAATGTTTAAATAATCAGCCCATTTCATATCACATCGATTCTAGTACATTTCAGACTATTCTTTACTAGATAAACCAGGGGTGGGCAAATACTTTAAAGCGCGGGCCAAAATGAAATTTTCAAAATATCTCCGGGGCCGGTGGACTATACCGCGTATGCTTTGCACAAGCGGATGTTTTGGATGGAGTTTTTTCCCTGCCCATTTTTTTTTTTTTGACAAAAACACTAAGTGTCATTTCAATTTGAATAAAATATGTCACGTAATTTTTAAAGAAATATTATTATAAATAAATAGCTATTAGATAAACCAGTCAATGAAAGATTTTATTTTGTTACTTATTTATGTCTTAACGATACAAATTATTTTATATTGACACATAGTTATTACAATTTAACATTTATATTGCATTTCGTAAATATAATAGTAAATAGAATTCAAAAAAGAAAAGAAAAACATCAAACGTTAAAATAAATATTTAAAGTTAATGCGAAACGTGAAATCTCGAATGTTCATCTGACATTATTTCTTCAAAATTGGGTTCCAAATCACTTGTAGCAATCCTTAATACCGAGTGTAGATTTTCGTCAGTAATTTGTGATCGATATTTATTTTTCGTGGAAACCATCAAAGAAAAAGTTCTTTCACAAATATATGTCGAACCAAATAAAACTAGGTATTTTTGAACATAATTCAAAAAATGTTTGAAATGTTCGTTATTCAAAGCGCCATAAAAAGCACTCAATTCGTTTGAGTGAAAATTTTCTTTTAGTAAATTATTTGATTGTAAGTCAATTAGTTCTAGTTGAATTTCAACAGGAGCTTCTTGCACATCGAAATTGAAAGGTTGGCTAATTAATGATAAAGGTTTTTCAATAGCTTTGAAATCTTGAGATCTTCTTTGGAATTCAGAATGCAGGTCTTGTGTTATTGCACTATATTTAAAAAAAATCTGTATTTTTTAATGATTCTCGCCGTGCTTGCAATGAGGGGAAATGATTTAATAATTTATTATTAAAGTTTTCAGCAAATAAATTGAGTTTTGTCATAAATGCTTTGACGTTTGAGTGCATATTAAAAGCGAATTGGTTTTTCCCTTGTAGATTTATATTTAGTTCATTCAAATATTTTACGATATCTACTAAAAATGAGAAATCGTTTAGCCAAGCCTTATTTTGCAATTCAGGAAAATCATGTAGTTTTCCTTTTATCGACAAAAAGGATACTATTTCATCAAGCAAATATTGAAATCTGTCCAAAACTTTACCAATGCTGAGCCATCTCACTTTAGTGTAATAAGGAATTTTGTTCAATTTCTTTCAAAAATTCAACAAACTGTCGATGATTTACGGCACGTCCTCGGATAAAATTCACAACTTTGCTCACAACAGTAACGACGTGATTCAATTTCAAAACTTTTCTGCATAGCACTTCTTGATGAATAATGCAGTGCAAAAATAATATATCGTGTTCTGGTTGTAACTCTTTTACTTTGTCGCGAATTCGTTTAAGTAAGCCTACATTTTTCCCTGTTAAACTAGGACAACCATCCGTAGTGACGCTTACTATTTTATTCCAAGTTAAACTTACTTTAACTAAACACTCTTCAACAGCGAGAAAGAAGTCTTCACCAGTAGTTGTATCTTTCATTGGATGCACACTAAGAAGTTCATCGCTAATTTCACATTTCTTGTTAATGCCGCGAATGAATATTAATAATTGACTTGTATCAGTAATATCGCAGGACTCATCTAAAGCCAGAGAACAATAGGTAAAATAATCAG